AAAAAACTACGGATGGCACATCCGTTTCATTTATAATATTTATATTATAATAATTAATTAATTAAATAATAACATATAAATTAAATTAATAATAATTATTTTATTATATAAAATAAAATAAATTTATATATAATTATATAATAAATTTAAAATAAAATAAAATAATATTTATATATTAATTTAAAATATATAAATTAATAGACTAAAAAAACTACCGATGTGACACGTTTGTTTAACTAATAACAATATAAAAGGTATTATAATAATTAATTAAATAATAATATATAAATTAAATTAATGATAATTATTTTATTAAATAAAATAAAATTAATTTATATATAATTATATAATAAATTTAAGATAAAATTAAATAATATTTATAGATTAATTTAAAATATATAAATTAATAAAATAGGAAAAAAAACTGCAATGTGGTACATACATTTAACTAATAATAATATTAAAAATATTATAATAATTAATTAAATAATAATATATAAATTAAATTAATAATTATTATTTTATTAAATAAAATAAAATTAATTTATATATATTTATATAATAAATTTAAAATAAAATTAAATATTAATTTAAAATATATAAATTAATAAACTGAGAAGAAAAAACTACGGATGTGGTCACATCCGTTTATTTAATAATATAAAAAATGATAAATTAATAAACGAAAAATTTAAAAAAAACTTGAACGAATGTAGCATATCCGGTAACGGATGTCACATATCCGTTGAAGTATTTTTTCTTTAACGAATGTCGACATCCGTTGAAGAAAAAATGTGGGGGTATAGGATATTTTAAAATATAAATGATAGTTTTGGAATTTTCAAAAAATGTGGTGGTGTAGAGAGCAATGTGGGGTGGTGTAGGGAGTAACCCTCTTTACAAAATTTCAAAATACCCAAGTCCATTGGATTCAAAAGCATTACCTTATATTCAACAACCATGGACAATATTTTCTTCGTTTAATCATTCCAACAAGCCATATTTTTGGGTCAAAGTCACAAATCAATCCCTCAATTTTCTTTTGTGTTAATTGACTATCTATTTTTTAAAAATTGATGCAATCATGTCCTTTCCGTTAGTACAACACTAACATGTTAAAGAGGATGTCACGTGTCAGATTGTAGTTTTTTTATTCTTTTAAATATTTTTTAATTAATTTTATTTTTTATATATTTTTTTAAATTGTCACATGTCAAATGTGTCATGTGACAATGATAGTATGATGTGATAATGATAGTGTCACATATCATTATCATGTTACGTGTCATTACACTAGTCACAATTTAGTCCGTGTATTTTTATTTTTATCTTAATTCAATCTTCTTTTTAAAATTAAATAATTTTGTCTCTCTAGATATTAAAACAAAATTTAATTTCTATATAATGTTGTAGAAATATGTTTATTAAAAATTATATTTTATTAAATATTTTTATTAAGTTTAAGTTTATTTATATTTTATATTAATTTAATTATATAAATGTTAATTATATTCTTTAAATATATAAGTTAAAAAAATCATGCTGTGTATATTTGAAATTTTTCACCCAAAACAATATACAAAATAGTTGCTATTTTTTCAAAAAAATTATACAAGAAAATTTGTAATCTTCGTCAAAAAATTATATAGATATTTGCATTTTTGTAAGAAAAATTATATACTGAACAATAATGTTTTGTTAATTATTCGTATATATAGGTCATGTTAAATTTATTGTACGTTTGTATTTTTACTCTGATTTGTGATTGTATTTTGGCTTGAAAATGTTATTTTCTATTACATGATCCCAATATAAAAAATAAAAACATAAATGAATTTTCATAGTACTCTATGAAAAACAGGGGAAATGGTGGTATTGATATCACCCTTGACATACTCTATTATGAGATTTGTCACTCGAGCCTCCACACGAACTTGGAATGTCTGTCTATCTGGGTATTATTTATAATCTAATACATAAAAAGCATCTAACTAGTTAATTTAGAAGCTTTGTGATTAGGAAGCCATAAGCACAATGAATGCAATTATTGACACAATTTCAGCTATTATTTATTTTATCCAATTACTAATTAGTTGACTAAGAATACATATATTTAAAGATTTAAAAAATAATTCTAATATATTATTTTAGATATTAGTATAATATATATATATATATATATATATATATATATCTTTTTTTATTATAAATATTATATATTATTTCAAAAAATAATTTAAATAATAGTTAAATTATAATTAATAGAATATTTAATATATTTTAACAATACAATTATAATTAATAGAATATTTGATATATTTTAACCACACCTTCTAGGTAGGTATTACCTTTGATGTGATTGTAATTTAAAATTTAGTTGGATAGAGAAATAAGTATATCTATTTACCTACTTTCTAGATTTTGAACTTTTCATAACCTTACTAAAGAAAATATTATAATGTCATAGATTATTATTGGATGGGCCGAGTCAAAACTTTTTAAAGTCAAACTTTTTTAAAGTCAAACTTTTTTAAACGATTTAACAATCTAATTATATGGTAACGTAAACTAAAATATTAAATCAATACTAATCAGTTATTGCCTAGGAATGGAATATCTCTCTACCTTTTAGTAGAATAAGTTCCATGTTCTGTGCTGAGTTGTCTATATTGAAGTGTCGTCCTCTGTTTTTGATAGCACATAATTTTATTACGGAGTTGTTGTATATTTTTTGTTTTATTTTTAGGTTTTAACTCTCTTTTTTTATTAGTAATCAATTTCATTAATTAGTAATAAATATTTTAATTATAATTTTATATTTTAAAAACATTTTATCTTTATTTACTATTTTTGATCATAAATTTTTAATAGACATTTTTTTTTATTCCACTCGTATTATATAGATACTACATTTTCAATTACTTCAAATAATTTTGTACTCCACTAATATATTTTTTTAAAAAATTTTAGAAATTGAGGCATGTTGAAAATTTATTAAAAATAAACAATATGAATTTGAGTTTTGTAATTTGACTTCTAAATATGATTAGAGTTCATAATAGACCAATAATTTTTTCAGAGTTTGCAAAATTAGGACTTAAGTTAAAAGTCTATTTAAGGTACAAGAAAATACTATATATTGATAAAATTTTATCGACAGAAATTCTTTTATAAACTACCCAAGTGCAATCATAGCATATTGTCACTTTTTTTCTCTTACAATGTTTCACGTATACTAGAATGGCAAAAACTTCAAGGGCTTGGTTTTAGAGTGTTTCCTATGTCAATCACAAATCTGTATTTTACATCTGCTTTGAGGAGACAGTCCATTGCAGTGTTGACATAATGAATAGGAATGACCTCAATGATAGGTTTTACGTTGTGTTTAGCAGCAAAGTCGATCATCTCTTGGGTCTCCTTTATTCCTCCAATCAAACTTCCGGCTACTATCTTTCTCCCTAGCAAACCAAGTACTTATTTACATCAAAATGCTGATTAAACTTTGATATATATGTGAATACGCAGACGCATATGCATCTGTATTTTGTACTAAATCACTTGCTTACCATTAAGTAAAGGAAAGATTGGCAGCTCCAGAGGCTTCTCCGGTGCACCCAGCATTACAAGCTTTCCATGAGACTTCAGCAAACCAATCAGAGGTAACAAAAGATGAACGCCCGAAACTGTGTCGATAATACCATCCAAAGTACCCTTTGCAGCCTACAAAATAATCAGAATTACTTAATTCAAAGAATGTGTATTTTCATAATATTCTAAATGGATGCTGTAATACATATACATATATATATATATAGACATACATACCTGCATCTGATCTTGGTCACGGCTTATCAGAAAAGAGTCAGCTCCAAGATGTTGTATTGCTTCCTCCTTTTTGTAAGGTGAAGTACTTATTACTGTGACGTTGGCCCCAAAAGCTTTGGCAAATTTTACAGCCATATGGCCTAGTCCACCGAGACCAACCACACCCACATGCAGACCAGGTTTGTCTAGTGCAAAATATCTGAGAGGGCTATAAACTGTGATGCCAGCACAAAGGAGAGGTGCAGCAGCATCAAGTGGTAGGCCATCAGGAATTCGAACCACAAAGTGTTCGTCTGCAACCATTGAATCAGAGTAACCTCCATATGTGATGCTACCATCTTTATATTTGGCACCATACGTGAGAGTATATTGTGGACAATAATTCTCAAGATTGTCAGAACAGTTCTGACAGCTGCGGCAGGAATCAACCAAGCATCCCACACCCACCTTGTCCCCAACTTTGAACTTTTCTACTTTGCTTCCCACTTCTGTCACTACACCAGTCACCTCATGCCTGCACCATTTTACATTATTAGAACAAAACTGAATCTGTTACCTAATATAACAAAAGCCTTAATATATCAATGACTGAAATCAAGTGTCTCACTACATAAATTATAGAGTCCTTTAGCATGTCTTAAAGTATATACCCTGGGACTAGTGGATAGGTGGAAGTGCCCCATTCGTTTTTTGCGTTGTGGAGATCAGAGTGACATATCCCACAATACAACACTTTGAATGCAACGTCTTTTTCACCAGTTTCCCTGAAAAATAAATTGCAAAACAAAAACTGAATCTGTTAGTTAAGTGGGTGGCAATTTAACTTTGTTCTTAACATTTTATGTGTTTATTAGAGAACCTTCTGGAGAAATCGAAAGGGGAGAAAAAACCAGAAGGGTCCCTAACTGCCCATCCGAATGCTTTTCTGGGATGCTCAAGTTCAGCTTGTGCAGCCATTTCAATCTGTTACAGTATTTGATCAGAAAATAAGTGCAATGAATGGAGCAGTGAGAAGAAAGAGGTATTTATAAGTGCATTCATGACGAAGGTTGTGACATTGACGTATTTGGTAACGTATGTCTAACGTATCTGGTGACGTTGTTTCTTGATCTATAAGCTTGACATGTAGTGAAGGCGGCGTTGTGGTCATTGTGTTCGAAGTGAAAAGGCATAAAGAAATGGATCCTCGTTTACTAAAAAGGTCTTTACGAAACTTTGATCACTTTTGAAAATGAATACGAGAAATTGAGAGTATTTGAGAATAAATATGTATTGTTTTTTTTTTAAATTTGAAAATGAAAAAGAATAAATTTAAAAATAAAGTGTGTGAAAAATTTGATTAATATGATAAATTTAAAAAATATTAATACATAGAAAATGAAGATTATCAAATCCTTCTAATGTTATAAGTAATTTAAATTTATATTTATGAGTTACATATGAATCCGTCACACAAACTCAACTTCACATTTGTGGTTCATCTTCAATCAAAAATTGTGGTTTATCTCCATTTTCATCATTATGGAGATTGTAAATAATAGAATATTAAGAGCTCGACAATACACCTACATTTGACAACACACTTCCTATCAATGAACACAAAATTATGGATCCATGAATCACCCATACAGATAACTTACCTCAAACAACTCAAAACACTTATCTCTCCACCACATCCAAAGAAAATAAACTCAACTTCTCAACGTCTAAAAATTTATACATTATATGGGAATCTCTGTCTAATCGCGTAACCAACTATGCACGTAAACAAACCAAGCTGAAGATAAAATGTATTTTCATAAATAATACCTAAAATTAGCATGATTAAAGAAAAATTCAAAAATCATTCCATTTTACAAAAACTTCAAATTTTCTCACTTCCAAATACGTAAATATAATTTCATTCTCAAATTCTTCTTTCCCAATATTTATAAATAAATAGTTTTTCACCCGAAAATAACACCATAAAACCACGTGGTTTTTCTACTCTACGTTATAACTCATTTTATTAATTTCTTATTCAATGACTGAATTTATATTGTAATTAAATAACTTAATTTAATATATTATCGTTATTAAAAAACGTTATCTCCTTGTAAATGGTGAACCGTGTCAAACCATCTTTCCTCTAAAGAAATATTGTTCTATTATATTCTTTTACAAGATAAACAGTATAACATTAGCTATTCTCTGCAGTATAATTAATTTATGTTTTTCATCTTTAAATTATTTTAAATCAATAAATTAATATATAATTAATACAATAAATTTAATAAGTAAGTATTTAAATCAATAAATTTAATTAATGTAGTTACTTTTAGGTTGACCTGTACTTTAATCTTTCAAATTCAATTTTTAACGAAAATACTTAGTTCTAATAGTAATTATTATATAAATTAAAATATCTATAAAAACTATTTAAAATCTTAAAACATCATCTAAATAAAAAGTTATTATTAACTATATTATAATTTAAAGGGGTTTGCTAACGTGCGTAGGCCTGTTTTTCAGTTGGTACATTTTAACAATGTGTACCGGATTTTAGTAGACAAAAATATCCTTATATATCATGAATTCTAAGTTTTAAGGTTAAGGGTATTTTAATAATTTTCATTCTCAAAACTAAAAAAAAAATCCCTCAAACCCTTACTCACCTCTCTCATTCCTCTCAACCCTTTCTCTTTCTCTTTCTCACTCCAATCTTTTCTCTGTCAGTACTACTGTAGCCCCAATTGAAAAAAATCAGAAACACTTGCTGTTAAACAATTTTACAAAAAAATGATTTTATAATGAGTTTTCATCTTATAATTTTTGTCTTATCTAATTTTATTCAATTTTCACAAGCATAAAGGAATTGGTAATTGATTGGAAAAAATCAGAAATACTCGCTGTTAAACAATTTCTTACAAAAAATGATTTTATAATGAGTTTTTATTTTATAATTTTTGTCTTATCTAATTTTATCTAATTTTCACAAGCATAATGACATCAAAGGAACTGGTAATTGGCCTGGAAAAAAATCAGAAACACTCCGTTATTAAACAATTTCTTACAAAAAATGACTTTATAATGAGTTTTCATTTTATAATTTTGTCATATATAATTTTATCTAATTTTCACAAACATAATGACATCCGAAAGAATTGGTAATTGGCCTGGAGGGTTTTTTTTAAAGATGATGATTCAACAAATACAGATGATGAAATTAGAGAGGTTATTGAAGATGGTGAAATTGAAGAGATATATGTCAATGACTACAGTAGGAATGACAGACAAAAAGTTGGAGTGAGAGAGATGAAAGAGAAAGGATTGAGAGGAAGGAGAGAGGTGAGTAAGGGTTTGGGGGTTTCTTTTTTTTTTTTTAAGTTTTGAGAATGAAAATTATTAAAATACCATTAACCTTAAAACTTGGAATCCATAATATATAAAGGTATTTTTGTCTACTAAAATCCGGTACACATTGCTAAAATGTACCAACTGAAAAACAGGCGTACGCGCGTTAGCAAACCCCTAATTTAAATACATAATTCATACATATTTTTAACCAAAATTTAATTTTAAAATCAAATCATTTAAAAAAAATTTAGAAAAAAAAAAGATAAAAAACAAGTCATTGAAAAGTTAAAGTGAAAAAAGCCAACTTTTCACGTATTAAAGTGTTCGACTTTTCTCATCTAAGGTATCACATACAATTCAGTCATCAAATTTAAGTTCTCATAGTTATATATTTTTAAGAAATTCACCTATCCAATCAAGTACCCCTTGACCTAGCCAATTGGACGTCGTGCTTCCAGTTTATCTACCACACATTCTGCACCAAACACCATCTTTGAATTTTATTACAATTTACTATAACATACTTTCATATAATAAAATAATTCTATATTTATATAAGTATATTTGTTTCGGTGAGATTTGTCTGAGGGTCGGTTGCCTTCCACTTGTGTGCTCCGCTTGTACGCTTCCAGTTTAGACCGCTCTGTTGTCGCTTTGGACCGGAGGAGGAGGTACCTACAAAAGGCACTCCGACGTTCAAGTTAGGAACGGTTTTATGAACTGTTTGTTACAATTAAATATTGAAGTCCTAATAGGACATAAATAACGCATATTGTAGTATGAGTTCCCTGTCCCTCAAGCCTAAACTTTTATTTATAGAGTTTAAAGGAATTTGACCAATTAATTTACCTCTTAATGGTCATTAATGCAAACCTTAATTGTCTAACGACAGCCGTTACCACATTTATTTATGCATTAAATCTGCTCAACAACTGTCGAGACCGAACGACAAGAGACTTGCCGAGACCAACTGACTGAGAAGCTGATAGACCAATACCGATCGGTTGCGTGCAAGTCCATAGTAACAATATTGTTTCTTATTTTTAATTAATGAATATAAGGACCCAAACAATTTTTTTGTCTTCAAATAAAATATCAATTTCAACTACGAAGGACAGTTGGGGTAACCTGTTAGACGTGGTTTCTTATTATTTATGTCTAGATGAATATATCTCTCAATTTAGATAGTTGATTAAAAGTAATTGAATATTTATCACTAAAATATAACTACAATGTTTCCTGAACATAGTTATAATATAATAATTTTTCATCGTTTAAATTACTTTTTAAGTCACATTTATTGCCAAAAACATCACCCATTTACTTTTTATAATTAAAATTTCACAGTAACCAAACTCATTATTCCCACTTCAACGTTGCCTCTATCTATTTCTATGGTTAAGAATGATATCTTGCTTTTTAATTTTAATTATAAATTTTTCTACACTTTATGAGCTCCAAATGCAAGAAGCATCTTCATGTGGAAGAGAGTTGTTTCCTACACCATCATGAATTACTCCCTGCACCTCCTCGTTCCTTTTTTTTTTGTCCTTCGTCACCACAAACTACTCCCTATACCTCTCCAATGGTCCCTATATGAAAGCAACCCCACACCCCACCACTTTCACACGGAAATCAACTCTTGTTTTCTTCTTCACCCCCACCGCATCCCACATCCATTGACGGATGATGTCTAGATTCGTTGTGATATAAAAGTAATACCATTTGACCTAACTCCACTCTCTTCCATTTCATGGAAAAGCTATATTGCCTCTTCTCCATAACCATGCACAGCAAACCCTAGTATAATCGATGTCCAAGAAACAATGCTGCTGGCCACTGGCATATTCTGAAAGACCAACCTAGCCATAGCTACATTCCCACATTTGAAGTAGGTATCTATGAGAGCATTATTCACAGAACCAACATAAAGAAACCCAGCTTTCTCCAGAAACGCATGTAAAATCATCCCAAACTCAAACGCCCCAGCCTGTGCACAAGCAGACAGCACCCCGGTGAGGCTCACTTCATTTGTCCCAATTCCCTCGCGCAGCAACTCCTTGAAAAACCCAAAGCCTCGTCAAAACAACCATTATGAGCAAACCTAATAATCATACTGCTCCAAGAAACCTCATCTCTGAGAGGCATATCCGTTCAACTTTTCAGGCTTTCTTTCATTTTTCTTTTACAAACAGTTTATTTGTAAATAAATAATAATACAGAAAATATTAAATTAAAATAAATATACAAAAATTAACCACCTAAATATAATCAAATTAATAACCTAAACAAATAAGAAAGAGAGAAAACGAGAGAAACAAAGAAAGGGAGAGTGGGGGTGGGGTTGCAGAGAAAAAGAGAAAGAAAGTGAGAGTATGTTGTTGAGTGAAAGTGAAAATGTGAGAGTATTGTTCTTGAGTGAAAGTGAAAATGAGAGGTAGGAAAGGGATTAGGGTTTTAACATCAAAAGTTAAAAAGGTAAATAGTAAATGTAAAAAAAAGGATAATTTTGGAATGAAAAAAATTGGGAAGGTGCGGAGGTGGTGGATGGAGCAACTCTTCGTGTCGAAATGGGTTATCCGTAACGTTCTTGTCCATTTAAAAGGTGCTCTTGGACCTAATCAGGTATTTCTTTTAGCACCTCCATCTTTTCTCCGGGCACCTCAATAAATGTGGGAAAAGTC